TCCAAGTTCGAACACGCTTGAAAGGGCGCATGCACAACGCTCGCAGCACATCCGAGTTTTGTTCCTCCTCAATAACCTATAAACGTTTAGAATATAACCGTCACACTTCCCTAAATGAGTAAATTAAATAGCAACGAATAGTAAATCATAATTATCCTAAGTTTAGATAGTGTACATCACCTTGCGATGAAACCAATCAGGGAATTCAGCTTCGCATTTCTCCATTACTTCTTCTCTATGCAGATAAGGTCGAGAACTAAGAACGTAGTCCTTAAATTTCCTACGAGGCCAAAATTAATGTAAATCAACATTGTAATAATTTTAGTTGATCATATCATCCAACTACACTTCATTCCTAAACTATATTATACCTTTCGTATTCACCAAGAATGCCGGTGTTTCGTAACACGAACAGATGACCGTAATCGAGTTCTTTTTCATCTAAAAACCGAGTTTTTCCCTCATTTGACACACGAGCGCTATCCTCCGTGAACAACTCTGGAATTTCAGTGTCGTCCACTGTGGAGTCCACGTTGACATTCACATTTCGACCGAGATCTCGTGTTTTAGTGTCAACCGTCGCCTGAAAGTAGTTACTACAGAAGTTTGCTATCTCTTCGGTGAGATAAGCATTGCAAATGGATCCTTCAACTCGAGCCTTATTTCCAATTTTTCGTTTCAAATGATTGAGGAACCTGCAATCATAGTTATGTAAATATATAAACACGACATGACATTAAATTTGATGTAAGAAATAGGATGTGCATGCGTCTTTGATTTACCTTTTGAACGGATACATCCATCTATATTGAACAGGACCACATAACTTCCCCTCATATGGAAAATGAATGGGTAAATGCTCCATGGAGTTAAAGAATGCAGGGGGGAAGACCTTCTCAAGAATGCACAGTATCTCAGATATGTTTTTCTCCAATCGCTCCATGTCACTAACCGACGTTGTATAGCAACACAAATTGCAAAAGAATTGGCTGATCTCTGTTATTGCATTCCAAACATGGCAAGGGAGCAATTCCTTCAGAGCAGTAGGCAACAAACTCTCCATGAACACGTGACAGTCATGGCTTTTCATTCTGTGTAGCTTACATGCTTGCATATCTACGCATCTGCTCAAATTGGAGGCGTAACCATCAGGAAATCGCAACTGTTTAACCCACTCACACAAAACTTTTCTCTAGGCCTTGTCAAGAGCAAATGGAGCCCTTGGCATGAACTCTTTTCCTCTATCATCCTCCTAAAGATGAAGCTGCGGACGTTTACAATATTTGGCAATGTCATTTCGAGTGGATGACGTGTCACACGTATGCCTTTTCACATCCATTACAGTGTGAAATAACTAATCAAAGTTCTTTTCAATGTGCATGACATCTAGGTTGTGATGAACAAGCAGATGCTTCCAATATAGAAGCTCCCACAGTATGCTTTTCTTGAACCACCCCTTCTTTTCTTTTTTGAGGCGTTGAAGTGACTCGGGCCCATCTGTAGCCTTCGGAAGGTCTTTCACACATTCCCACAGCTCCTCTCCTGACATAATGTGTGGAGGTGCACCCTTTTTTACTTTGTTTCTGCAGAACGCAGTTATACTATTCCGAAAAGGGTGATTTGTCAAAAGGAACTGGCGGTGGCAATCAAACCAAGAAACCTTACAACCATGTTCTAGCCAAAATGCTTTTCTTTTGTCCATGAAATATGGACAATCTTTCTTACCAGATGTGGCCTAACCGGACAACATACCATAAGCCGGGAAGTCACTAACGGTCCACAGGATGGCTGCTCGAAGATTGAAATTCTGTTTCATGGAAATATCGTACGTATGCGCACCAACTTCCCACAACTATTTCAACTCCTCTATCAACAGTTGCATGTACACATCCAAGTTGCCCTTAGGGTTTTTAGGACCAGGAACGAGCAATGAAAGGAACATAAATTGTCTTTTCATACACATTGAGGGAGGCAGGTTGTAAGGGGTCAAAATGACATGCCAACAAGAATATTGTCCCCCAAACTTGCCATGACGAGCAAAACCATCTGTACACAAGCCAAGCCGAACATTACGAGGCTCGGAGGCAAACTCTGGAAAGCAACTATCGAGATGTTCCAAGCTTCACAATCACTAGGGTGTGCCATAGTGCCTTGAACTCGAGGATTTTTTGAATGCCATGTCATTTCCTCCGAAATATTCTTGGTTGTAAACAACCTTTGCAACTTGGGTGTGATCGAGAAATAAAACAAAACGTTCAAAGGCACTAGGCTACCCTTGGAAGTCTGCTTGTATCAATCGCTGCCATACGCCCTACATGTAGACAACTGGACATCATCCTTCCAAAACAACATACATCCTTTCGGGCAAGCGTGAATCCTTTCATGAGGCAGTTTTAAGCCCTTCACAATCTTTTTCACCTCATAGAATGTGTCGACCATTTGATTGTTGTTAGGAATTGCTTCACTGAGCAAAGAAATAAACCCATCAACACATATGTGGGGCAGATTATACTCGCACTTTAGACTGGTGATTCTAGCGGCCATCTTTAACACAGACAACGAACTCCCTTCATATAATGGCCTTTCAGAAGTCTTCAACAAATCCAGAAAATGCTTAGCTTGTGCATTAGGCTCCTCCTCTGATGAAACACTAGCCTGCTCGGAATGCCCTTGATCCTGACTATGACCAAACGCATCGAAAACCATTTCACGATATTCATTGGACCCCCGTTCAGGAACTGTCGGAAACCCTTCCCCGTGATACATCCACTCATAGTAATTAGGTATAAAACCCGCGCGAAACAAATGAAGTTTAATCGTATCTGGATCCCAAAGCCGTTTTTTCTTACATTTAGCACATGGACACCTAACTTCATTCGGGTTACTACTCTCGGGATTATCTTTGACGTATTGCATGAATTCATCAACCCCTTTCACGAACTCTGGATTAAAATATTGCCCAACCTTCCTTTCATACATCCAGCTACGTTCTGTTCGTTTCATGATTACAACTTCTACACAACTCACGCATATGTATAATCACATTAGTCACAAAGCGTATATCCTAATCATTATCCATCAAAGTGTTATGGGAATTCAAATGAGATTTGAAATGCTTCCAAAGGGTCCTTATCACTCCAACCTAACCCATCCTTGTACGTTTAATCCCAATAGTGAATGTAAGCCAGGTTTTAAGTTCTACGGAAAATCCGCTAGCATTTCCATACAGTTCTCTAAGTACACGATGGAGGCGATTAAAACCACCTACATATGTACCCAGAGAACACTGTAGAGAAATGAAAAGGCACGATTTTCCCTAGAATCAAAAGCAAGGCTTACATTCACCACCTAAGTGAGAATAAGCGTATAAGGACAGTCCCAACCGAGGACTATTCAAGAGATACTTTTAATGTGTATGCCTTGAACGGGTATCTAGGAAAATGATTATGCAAATGATTCATTTATTATATATATATATATATAAAGTGAAGGTCACATGCATTATACTAAACAGAGATTTATCATAATTAAACTAAACTAAGCAAATAAATAAGCACAATTATTAAATATTATGTTAAACATTATATCAAACAAAAATATTAAACTAAATAAACTAACATACACTATATTAAACTAAACTAAACTAACATACATTATATTAAACTAAACTAAACTAAACTAATATACATTATTATATTAAACTAAATCAAACTAAACTAACATATTATAATACAACAATTAACAACTAAACTTAAATAAACTAAACTAAACTAACATATCATAATACAACACATTCATTTCAAATATTTCAACATATTAAAATAAATGTAAATGCAACAAATTTTATACACTACACTAAAAACAATAATAAACTAACATATATCTAAATACAATTAGTCACTAACATGCCAAGTATTTTACGATTTTTATAGTCTCTAACCTGTAGATCCGCACTTGTTACTGACAATCAAACCAAGTACCTCTGCAAATCCTACAAAGAATTCAAATGATTAATTTAATTCCTGTTTATGCTGTCAATTTTGTTTTTTATAAAAAAAAATGGGAGGGGGGGGGGGTAAGACTAACTGGGGCTGTAGACCGAGCGGCAGCGTTGGAGTCACAAGGCCACGGCAAAGTCACGACTGGTGGTGGAGGTGAAATCCGGTGGCTGTTGACATCATGGTGGTGGTAAGGGTTTCACCGAAAAAAATTAAACAAAACGACAAAGAAGCTTACCGGACGGCGGCGTTGGAGCAGTAGGGGACGGCGGCTTAACGGCTGGTGGTTGTGGTGAAACCCGTGGTGGCTGTTGACATGGTAATCGTTAGGGTTTCTCCCAAAATGTTAAATTAAAAAAAAACCATACACGTACCAATGGCGGCGTGGCTGACGAGGCTCGGTGATGGTCCCCGGAGGCACAGTCGCCGATGGTGCAGTCGCCGGAACTCCTCTCTCTCTCCCTCTTTCTCTTTCTCTTCCTCTTTCTCTATTTCTTCCTCTTTCTTTCTCTTCGTTTTTCTGATTTTGGGCGACAAAGCTGGTTTGACATTTTTTTTATTTTGCTAAGGGTTCCGACGGAATTTTTCCCCTCGGAAATTGCATCTTCTAACGGAATATTCCGTCGGAAGATGTAATTTTCGAGGGGAAAAAATTCCGTCGGAAACATTGCGAGGGATTTTTCCATCGTAAGGTACATTTTCCGGCGGACATTTCTGACAAACACAATTTCCATCAAAATATTTTAAATTTCCGACGAAAATTTTGTCCGTCGGAAAATAGCCTATTTCTAGTAGTGTGACATGATCATTGATTCGGGGAGTTGCACTAATGTGGTGTGTACTACTCTAATTGATAAATTGAAGCATCCTACAACCGGGCATCCTCAACCATACAAGCTCCATTGGCTAAGCAACACTAGTGATGTGGAGGTAACAAAATAAGCCTTGATTTCTTTTTCTATTGGAAAATGTATTGATCAAGTGCTTTGTGGTGTTTGTCCTATGGATGCATGCCACTTAATGCTAGGGAGACCTTGGCAATTTGATAGATTTGTGAAGTATGATGGTAGAACTAATGTCTATGTTGTTAAAAAGGGAGAAAAAGACAAACCAATTGCTTTGAAACCTGTAATTTCAAATCTACCAAAGATCACTTCTAATTCGAAAGGCTTGATGATGATTACTGAGCAAGAATTTGATAAAGCAGTGGCGCAAGAAGGTTGCTTTTATGTGTTGGTTTCAAAGGAAATTAAAGAATAAATTAAGGTGCAAACAGCTTCGGTTTTGGAGCCTATTTTGCGTGAGTTCGATGATGTGTTTCCGGATGAATTACCACCTGGTTTGCCTCCAATTCGTGGTATTGAACATCAAATTGATTTAATTCCGGGAGCTCCTTTACCAAACAAAACTGCTTATAGAAGTAATCCTGAAGAGACTAAGGAGATGCAAAGGCAACTTGAAGAACTCATGGTGAGGGGTACGGTTATATGCGTGAGAGTATGAGTCCTTGTGCGGTGCTTACATTACTTGTTCCTAAGAAAGATGGGAGTTGGTGCATGTTCATAGATAGTAGGAGTGTGAACAACATCACAATCAAATATAGATTTCCAATTCCAAGGCTAGATGATCTACTGGATGAGCTACATGGTTCGAAAATATTTTAAAAAATTGATCTCATGAGTTGTTATCATCAAATTCGAATGAGAGAAGGGGATGAATGGAAAACTGCATTCAAGACTAAGTCAGGGCTGTATGAATGGTTGGTGATGCCTTTTGGCCTTACTAAAGCTCCTAGTACTTTCATGAGGTTGATGCATGAAGTTCTCAAACCTTTCCTTGGTAAATGTGTTGTGGTTTACTTAGATGATATTCTGATTTACTCTAAAAATATGCATGATCATCTTAACCATCCAAGAGGCGTGTTTGAAGTTTTAAGAAAGCAAAGGTTGTATGCAAAGCTAGAAAAATGCTACTTTCTTGTACCAAGTGTGACTTTTCTAGAATACATAGTATCAAAAGATGGTGTTTTTGTTGATCCATCTAAGGTAGAAGCAATTAAATCATGGTCGGTTCATAAGAATACTTTGGAGGTACGTTCTTTTCATGGTTTAGCTTCTTTTTTTTGAAGATTTGTGAAAGACTTTTCTAGTATTGTTGCACCTATGACTAAATGTTTGAAGAAAGAAAGAGTTAAATTTGAGTGGAGTAAAGAGGCGCAGCATGCCTTTGATTTAATCAAGAAGAAATTGTGTGAAGCTCCTATTTTAGCTCTACCTGACTTTGCTAGTCCATTTAAGGTGGAAACTGGTGCAAGTGGAGTAGGAATTGGTGCGATTCTAATTCAAAGGAAGAGACCTATTGCTTACTTTAGTGAAAAATTGAATGGTGCTCGATCGAATTACTCTACTTATGATAAGGAATTCTATGCAATTGTCCGGGCTTTAGATCATTGGAGTCATTATTTACGTCATAATTATTTTGTGCTTCATTCGGATCATGAGTCTTTAAAGTACATACATGGAAAACAAAAATTGAATCCCAGACATGCTAAGTGGGTGGAATTTCTACAATAATTTAATTTCTCTTCTAAGTACAAAGAGGGGAAGGCTAATATTGTTGTAGATGCATTGTCAAGAAGGTATTCTTTACTTGGTGTTTTGAATTTTCGATTACTTGGTTTTGATTTGATCAAAGAGTATTATGCAAGTGATGAAGATTTTGCACCTATACTTGAGAATTGTGCAAAGGGGGTCGTAGGTTCCTATGTTACTCAAGATGGTTTCCTTTTCAAGGGAATCGATTATATGTTCCCAAGTGTTCTATTCGTGAGTTGATTGTGAGAGATGCTCATGGTGGAGGAATTGTATGGTAGTTTGGTATCCATAAAACTCTTAGAATTCTACAAGAGCATTTTTATTGGCCTAATATGAAAGGGGATATTCAATCTGTGATTGCAAGGTGTGCTTCATGTCAAAAGGCAAAGAGTGTGTTCCATCAAGGTCTTTACAGTCCTTTACTTGTTCCTGATTTTCCTTGGGAGGATGTCTCCATGGATTTTATAGTTGGACTGCCTCAAACTCAAAGGGGTAAAGATGCTATCATGGTGGTAGTTGATAGATTCTCTAAAATGGCTCATTTTATTGCTTGTCACAAAACTGATGATGCATTGCATATAGCTGATCTTTATTTTAGAGAAATTGTTCGGTTGCATGGTATGCCTAATGAGCGATAGGGATGTTAAATTCATGATATTCTTTTGGAAGTCTTTGTGGAAGCTAGTTGGAACTAAGATTTTATTTAGCACTTCTTATCATCCTCAAACGCATGGGCAAACAGAAGTTACTAATCGAACTTTGGGAGTATTGTTACGTGGATGGGTAAGTAAAACTCAAAAGGATTGGGATGTTAAACTTTCTCATGCTGAGTTTGCTTATAATCGTTCTCCTACTTATGCTACTAATCATTCACCTTTTGAGATTGTGTATGGTACAAATCCAAGGCTACCTTTGGATTTAATCCCTTTTCCTAAGGGAAAATTGGTGAATCATGATGCTAAGACCAAAGTTCAAGTGATGCAGAAGTTACATGCTTAAGTGCGTGCTAGAATTGAGAAGATAAATTCAATGTACAAAGAGAGAGAAAATCCACATAGAAAGCCACAAATATCAAGGTTGCTGATTTGGTTTGGTTGCATATAAGGAAAGAAAGGTTTCCAAGCAAGAGAAAGAATAAGCTCATGCCTCGAAGTGAAGGTCCTTTCAAGGTTATTGAGAAAGTGAATGATAATGCTTTCAAGCTCGATCTTCCCGGTGACTATGGTGTAAGTGCTACATTTAATGTGGGAGATTTGGCTTGTTATGTACCTGATAATGAACTTTGAGATTTGAGGACAAATTCTTTTGAAGAAGAGGAGGATGATCCGGATATTGAGAACTTCGAGAGTTTGTTACATCTTTACAAGGAAAACCTAAACTTGAACATTAACTCATTAGAAGCTACAAATTGGCGGTTCTTGGATAGTTCAAGCAAAGGAACTTGGTGTCTAGTACAAGCTCAAGTTCCAGATCACTCTTACTTCCTCTACTTAGTGGTTTTTAATTAGTTATTGCTTGCAACTTTTTACCTTTTACTTGAAATTGGTTTAAGCACTTAGGATTAATTTTATTTATTTTAGGAATTATAGACTAAGTATAATTAGTTTTCTAATCTAAGTAGAATTGGAATTAGTTTCCTAATCTAAGTAGAATTATTTTTCTTGTTCTATTTGGGTTACTTGGGGATAAAGGTTAAGGGACTAACGATTTGTTTTAGTCGTAAGGATGATTTTCATCTAATTCATTTGAACATATTTGAAAATTTGACAACCGTTGCGATTCTAAATAGATCTTTACCAAAAAACTACTAATTGGGCAAAAGATGATTACCTTTTTTATAAACCCAAACGAACCCTAACAAAAAACCAAAAATAGGAAACAAGAAAAATTGTTTTCATTTTTTTGTTGTCAGTTTTCAAAAATATCATGATTTTAATAAGTTTGACTAATTTTTGTTTCATTATATAACATACATCGTATGAGTTTACCAAAAAACAGAAAAGCACAGCAATGCCAAACAATAGATGATTTTAATTTGTTTGAGTGTAGTGACTTCCCATATTATGGGATTAGTTGAGGGTTCGTTTGGCATCACTGTGGTTTTCATTATATGATATATATCATATGAGTTTGAAAAACAAAATATCAAAAAACAGAAAACCACAGCAATCCCAATAACATATATCGTTTGGCATTGCTGTGGCAGTCTTTTTTTTAGGTTCTTTGTTTTTCAAAATCAAATGATATATATATCATATATTTAGTAAAAAAATTAGTCAAACTTATTAAATCATAATAATTTTGAAAACTGACAGAAAAGTGGAAACACCTTTTTCTTATTTCTTATGTTTTTTTTTCAAAAAATTAGAAAACTAAAAGCAAAAAACGATAACATCTATACTACTTGTGTAGATTTATTGAAACTTAAATTGCAAAACTAAAAAAAATTATGGGAAAAGGGTCAAAATAGTCTAATTTTCAACTAAACGACCAAAAATTTAGAAAACCCTAGAAGAGAGGAGAGAAAAGGAGAGGATTATAACTTAAGCTATGGTTTTAACTAAATAATAATTAGCCTACTTTGTCTGGATTCGTCTTATCTAAACATGTTTTCGAATTTATCAGATCAATATATTCAATTTCACACTATCATGATTGAACCTGTATTCAATGACTCAATGTAACATTGCACATACAACGACCCTTTTTACAGAGTATTTAACTTGATTCGAACAACTTTCTCGATCTAAAATAATTCAAATTATTAAAAATAAATCATAGCCTTTTGAATAACATTGTAAATGTGAATTGGGTTTATTAAAACTTATCATAACTTACACGTACAAGTCTTATTAGTGGGTTTATCGATGAATCTAACAAATCTCCACAAGTATGTTTTTGCAAATACTTTTTAACGAAGAGATAGATTCTAAATGAGACAATATTTTATGAATTGAAAGACTAGCTAGCTAGAATGTATCTTAGGTTGGACAACTCCTAGTAGCATCTAAAACTTACACAACTCCTTTATAATTAGCTTTGGAAAAGAGGAAATAGATTATTGTGCATTGCATTGGCTTGTCACGTAAAATTGATAGCCCTTTTAATTATATGCACCATAAAATGAACTTGTGGATATTAAGCCGGTAACTAGACAAGCATTTCAAGTAATTGATGGATAAAAGCAAGAACCAATGCAACAACTCTAAGTTGTGACATCGATAACCAGAAGAGGAAACAAAACCACAACGGATATTACAACTATCACCTTTTCTCTCTCTCACTCACTCAAACTATTCTCGTGGCAGCTCCCCAAAACCAATGCAAGAATTACATCTCTTTTGTTGGAATAATAACGACAACTCTATACTTTACTTTACATATTACCATAATTTGATTGGCAAAAAATTATCCATTCAAATTAAGAGTGATTTAGATATATTCAAAATTGAGATAGAGTTCTCGCACATATTTACAGAAATAAACTAAACTTAAAAATTTCTATTATATGAGAAATACGACAAGTGTATTTTAATTGATACCTAATGACAAAAACAGAAATAAATAAAAAAGATCGGGTACTGCAAATTTCACAGAAATTTGATTATATCCAACCTAATAAATCCTGGATTGGCTAGGTTTTTTTTTTTTTTTTTTTTTTTTTTTTTTTTTTTTTTATTTATAAAGTGTCACGTACTTTTTTATTTATTTTATTTATTTATTTTATTTTTTTTTTCTTCTATGCAACTTTAACTTCCATTTTTACACTTATCCAAATGGTCAATCCTTTTCGTTTCTTTGTTTTTTTACTACACGGCCAAAAATATCAATGTAAAATGGTGTGGTGTTAAGCCTTATGTAGCATATAGTTTATGGGCCAATGTAATTAAGCCCTAATCTCTTTTAGGT